ATTAGAAGCTCACTATTTGTCTATCACCACTTCTCAATGGGGGTGCTATTGGCATTTCCAGGAAGAAAAAATATTCATGAGCGGCCAATTCTCCTTGACGGTTCTGAAGAATGCTGGAGGCTTAGCATCCCTGGATTTGGGGTATTAAAAATCAATATAATCCTGGGCCTCGTGACAACCAAAATGCACCTTCCGAACCCCTGTCCCCCAAATTTTTCTTGAGAATCATTGTTCCCAAGCCAACCCTCCTGCCAGGCTAAACCCTCCCTCCACTGTACTCTCTGAACTTTTCTGCCTGTCTTTGATCACAACACCCCAAATTTTGGAACATCTCTTAAAAAAAAAAAAAAAATGAGGAAAAACTGTTTCTAACCAGTCAATTACTATCACTTCTTTCTTGACCTTTTTCTGACCAACTCAACCAAAATTCATGTTTTATTTTTTTAATGATTTGAACACCTCCCTAAATATGTTTATTAGCACTATTAGCCTTATTAGCCTCCCTAAATATGTATATTAGCCTTCTGTGGCTTCCCTTGGTATCAAGAAGGCTGCACTCATCTTTCTGCATGGGTTTTGCCTCACATTCTATGTTCCACCTACAATGAACTCCTTCTCTTCTTCCAAAGAACCATGCACCCATGTCTTCAGTATATTTGCATATACTCTTTTCTCTACCTAGAACATTCTTCCCCCTTCTTCTCTTCATGTCATCTTATCACTAATTTATAAGTATTCTCAGATATTGGTGGGATGTTCAGTGTTGGAGCTCCTTCTGTAGGCTTCTTGGTATTATCTGTTGTTTTATAATTACTCTCCTTACTATAACCCAATTGGAATTTAGCCATTTACTTGTTTACTAGACCATAAACACCATGATGGCAGAACATGTCTGGCTTTTTCATGGTCTCCCAATGGCTAATATGCTTAAAATTGAGCAAGGCATTACTCAACAGTGGTCCTATATGGTTAGTTTCTACATAGTTCCTCTTCTTATGAGCTCTATCATATTACCATTTAGACTACAATATAAATCCTGATATTCTAGCTTATTTTACTTTAATCACTAAGCTTTGCATATAATAACAATCTCAATAATTTTTAATAATTTGAAGTAAACAAAAATAGTACAATGTCATATGTGGTATACAACTGATACTTTAAGATAACCTTAACTAAGAAAATAATCTCTTATATATGGACAATATGTTTGGAAAGTGTTATTCAGCTCTTAATTTGTGGCACTTTGAAAAACGGGAAAAAAAGCTATGATTAAGAAATGCTCAAATTGATCTAAAGCTCATTTATGATTTCAGTTAAGGTTTCTGATTTTTCTATAATTTGGCAGTTTAAAAAAATCCCTAGTCAATGTGTAATTTTTTTCCACATAAATATTTGTATGCCTCATTCATGATTAAACTGTTTTGTAAAATTTAGACCAGTAATTCCCACTCTTATACCTGTCTGATAATTAGATTAGCTGCAAAGTTTCTATCAATACATATTTCTGGACCTCAACCATGGGGATTTTAATTTAGCTCATTAAGTATGTCTAGGATTGGGGAGAATTAGGCCAAATGAATGTGCATAGGTAAGGTGGTAAGAAGAGATATAAGAAGAATGTGATGTGAAGCTGGAAGATGGCAGTGAGGTGTCTAAAAGGCAAGGAATGCCAGAGATAGCTGGCAAACAGCCAAACAGTAGGAAGAGGCAAGGAAGGAAATCTACAGATTTCAGAGGGAACATAGCTCTGCTGACACCTTGACTTCAGACCTCTAACATTTAGAACTGTGAGACAATAAATGTCTACCGTTTTAAGCCACCCAATTTTTGGTACTTTGTTACAGCAGCCCTAGCAAACTAATACACCAGTAGATATGACTGTTCATAATACAATTTACCACTGAATCCTTAAAATGTAGTTTGGTTTTTAAAAACAAGCTGAATTAGTCAAAGGCAAAACGGAGGCAACCATCAGAAAATCTCCCCCCCTTTAGCAGTCTGCCCTCTTTAGCAGTCTGGTGAAGCCTATGGACCCTTTTTCAGAATAATATTTTGAAATTTGTAAAATAAAAAAAAAACCCATTGGATTATGAATGAATTCCATTACACTGAAGTGGTCAGAATTTAAGAAACATCAATTTGCGATGTAGTGACATCATTCTTCATTATCAATACATTAACAATAAGATTTAGAAGTCTATTAGTGATGAGAACAAATGGTATTTTCAGGTAACTATAGTATGACATGACAATATTTGTGACAAAGTCACAGGTACTGCTAATGCTAAGGCAGTGTCTTTCTTAGACTCATGATTTAAAGAAATGCTAAATTTCAGGTAGAGATTAGTAAACATAGATATGTAATTTATTCCCAGCCATGTCTAAGGACCCTCTGAATTCTATCTGTGGAGCATTTGGTGTTGGGTAGGTCTCAGGTAAAACACTTTTGAAGAGGAAAGACTGTCATGAAATTGTTTCTATTTTCCATTTTGATAGAGTTGGCCTAACTGACTGTGTGATAGTTGTGTGGGTGCCACTCAGTATCTCCTTCCTTGTGTGTCTCCCTGAACTGCAAAGGAAAGCTAAAGACCACAGGTTAGATTCCCTTGCAGCTACAAAGTTCAAACTATGATTTAGGTTCAATCAATCAGCTTTTACATAAGATCTGAAAGAAGAAAGTGAAGTAGAAGCTATATGCATACTGGCAAGCCTAGTATGTAGGATGCAGTTGGGTTTTTGCCCCAATCTTACTACTGTCTCAGTGCCTACAATTAGATTAATGGGTGCCAAGAGGCAGGGTCCTGGTACATTTAGTTGGCATGCCTCCCAGTAAATATGGCATGGTTCTGGACCTGGCAGCAAAAGTAGCATCCAGATCATGGCAATTTCTGCATTGTGGGATTGGCAGTAGTGGTTTCTGATCACAGGAGAGACGGCAACTCCCTAAGTGCTTGGATTTGGCTGTGTGGCTTGGAAGTCATTACTGACAACTCAAAATGAAGTCTGTTTCCTCAATCCTTTCTATACTCACGCAATCAACTTACTGCCCTGAAATATATCCCTTCTTGCTTTAACTAGCTAGAATCAATTCTGTTATCTGTAACTGAACTCTGACCCATACAGAATACAATTTATATTCCCTTCTATAAAAGACTCATTTCCTCAAGAACTCCTTCTGACAGATGAGTTGCTTTCCATTCTTTACCAAAGAGTAAACTTTCAACTTCAAACATGGGGGGGGTGGGGCTGTCCATTGTTCTTTGACCAAAGATAAACATACTCAAATTTATATCACAAAAAGCATAACAGGGTCACCTGGGTGGCTCAGTGGGTTAAGCCTCTGCCTTTGGCTCAGGTCATGATGGAGGCCTAATTAGGCTCTCTGCTCAGCAGGGAGCCTGCTTACCCTCTCTCTCTGCCTACTTGTGATCTCTGTCCGTCAAATAAATAAATAAAATCTTAAAAAAAAAAACAACAGAAAATACAAAGAATAGTCTAGAATCTGTTCCAGTTCAGTTAGTTATAATCACTTCATAAAGAAGTCAATTATTGCCTGATAGAGTAAAAACACTGGATTGCTAAAACAAAATATGCATAAATTATTAGCTATTTCTCCAAAAATATACATAACTTGGACTGCTTGGTACACCATTTGAGAATTAAGGCAGTTCTTTTCCTATGTGAAAGGAATTTAATATTTAACCCTCAGGGTAAGCCAGGTGCTATGTTAGATTGGTATCCTACCTAGTCAGGAGGTATCACAATGAGGGAATTAGTTGCTCTATTATTCCAGAGGCTAGTCACAGTAAAGTTTTATTAACAAAATGAACTTGACTAAAAATTACCTCAGTGACTTCAGCAAAATGAAATTGATAAACAGAGCATGAAAATGAATTGGTGTGCCAAAGGTCTGGAGGTCTTAATTATGCTATTCCAGTGAGACTTCCTGGATTGGATTAGTTATCTTTTTTTTTTTTTTCTGTGATATACACACACAAAACAGGAAAAAATATATATTAACATAATTAATGAGTATTAATACTATTAAATAAATAAATAAATGTGTGTGTGTGTGTATTTTTTCCCCCCCTCCATTGCAATTCTGGGAGAGAGAGAAGGTACTCTTCCGGAAGTTAGAACTTTATTTAATTAATTAATTTGTAAAAGATTTTATTTCTATGAGAGGAAGAGGGAGACAGAGTGTGAGCATGAGCAGTGGGGAGCCACAGGCAGAGGGAGAAGCTGACTCTCAGCTTAGCAGTGAGCCCGACTTGGGGCTGGGTCCCAAGACCCTGGGATCCTGACCTATGACCTTAGCTCAAGGCAAACGCTTAACCCACTGAGCCTGGCAGGTGCCCCGGAAGTTAGAAATTTAAATACAGAGAATGAACTTGTGTTGTTTTTAATGAATTTTAACCATTATATAAGAAAACTGAGTATGACTTTGTATCTAATCTCTCTGAACATATTTAAGTCTCAGGAAGGTGAGCCTGCACTTACATTAGGCGAATAACTCACTTTATCAAAACCCATTTAGCAAAGCCCCACACATTTCTTAGCCATGTGCAATTCCTTTACCAAACAGAGAAAAGATACTCAAAACTTAATCGGAGCACTGAAACCAAGCATTAGAAATGTAGCTCTAGAGACCCAATACTATTTTCCAGTGGTTCAAGCCGTTTTCGTTAATAAAGTCTGAAAATCCAAGGTGACTGTGCCGCCGCACTTCGGTTTGTCACCTTTTAAAATGAAGGAAAAAAAAATCTTCGAACTATTACATATGTTTATTACCTTTAACACCCGGAAACAGCTTTAGAACACCAATTTTGTGAACTTCAGGTTAAAACTACCTTTATGTGGGTGATTTTGACAGTAACGTGGCTTTAACACCAACAACAACACATTAAACTCTGTAAGATGCGTTTTTAAGAAAACCCTATTTGGGCCCTTTGCAGCCGTCTAGGAATCAAGGCCTTCCTCGGCTTTCTCCGGCTCACTGACGCGGCCCGGACGGCGGAGAACCGCCCGAACCCGCACGAAGGCACGGCCGCTGTCTCCCCTGCGTCCGTGTTGCCCGTCCGAGGGAGAAGACTGCAAACAAAGCCCGGATCTCCAGGAAAGGTGCTCCGGAACCACGACACCCACGGACCACAGCCAGAAGAGGCGCTAGGGCCGGCGTGAGGCGGCCAGCAAAGCAGAACTTCAGGCGGTTTCCCACACGCCCGCGGAGATCCAGCGACTTTTCCGAAGCCTCGAGGTTCGGGCTCGCCACAGCCTGCCCAGCCCTTCCCCACCTCGGGGCACAAAGAAGGAGCGCCCGGCGCCGGGCTCCGCTCAGGCGCAGGCGGACAGGTCAGGGCACGAGCCCGGCGCCCGCCCGCGCCCGCGCCCTCGCCCGCCCGGGGCGCCGCGTCCCCGCTGCCCGCACTTACCAGGAGAAGCAGCGCGGCGCCCTCCGCACTCCGCGCCATCGCGCCCCCGCCTCCGCCGCGCCCTCGCCTCGGGCCGCTCGCCGGGCTCTCACCGCCGGCTCCCCCGCGTCCCCGCCAGCGCGCCCCCGGCCCCGCCCCGAAGCACCCGCCCCCAGGGCCGCTCTTCGCGGCCGCCGCGCCGCCCTAGCCAGGGGCGCGGTGCCAGGTGCGGCCGCCGCGAGGAAAATGGAACCGTGAGCCCGCCCGAGCTGCAGGCGCCCGAGGTGGGAATTCCTTAGAGGAGGGAGGCGCGCGGTGGACTCCCGCCCCTCTTCGCACACGCACCCGGGACCGTGACGTCCCTGGGCTGGGGACTTTGGGTGGCAGGCCCCGCCCCGCCGTCCTGTCCTTCCCGGTCCCTTCCTCTCAGTAGAGTGGCCGGGACTAAGGGAGGCTCTGGGTCACCCGGTGGGACTCGGCCTGAGCAGCCCCAGAGCCGCGCGGGCCACGCGACCCCGGCCCCGGCCCAAGGGCAAAGCCGGCTCTCCGCAGCCAGACCTGCGGTGTCCAGCGATCGCCCCCGGCCGCCCGAGGCCGCTCGGGAGTCCAGCGCTTTGTGAAAGTGCTCGGGCCTGGAGCTCAGGTGGCGCCAAGGAGACTGTGGCTCGGGCACCTGTGTGCTCACTGCAGGCAGGGGAGCCTGGGCCTGCTTTGAGAGAGCTCGGGTTCTGGAGCAGTATTTAGGTGGCTGGCTCCGTGAAGGCTTCTCGGTTCTTCCCAATGCCCCTTCATTGGTTTTAACAGGTTTGCAGTTTATCTGGTTAAGGGAGAAACAGAAAAATCACAGATGATCTAAAGGGACAGTCTTTTGACTCCTTGTTAACTAGACACAGGTAGGAGAATATTCTAGGGGTGTTAAGGGGAAGATAGACTTCGATATGTTTTACAAAATCTCTTACACAAAAAATAACTAGAGGTCAGAATCCTTGCTCCAGTAGTTACTAGCCGTGTGACCTGAACAACCTTTCTGTGCCTTAGTTCCAGATCTGTTTAATGGGATTAATAATAGCACCCAACACGGAAACTGTTGTGAAGATTAAACCAGAAAATCCATGGGAAGCCTTCTGCGGTGTTTAGTACATCAGGTTCAATAAATGTAGTTTTTAGTAATATAATTGAAAGTGTAAATGTTAAGTTGAACTCTTCTTAATTAAACAGAGTCAATGGAATCAGCACCAGGCTAGGAAACGTCTAAGAAAGGTTAACTATTGCTGTTGGCATAGTGGAAGAGCCTATAAATGTATAAAGGATGTGGTATGCTGCTAGAAAGAGAAGTTTGGCATTCAGTTTGAACACAATAGCAGAGTTCCTTCTGTGGTCAAAAGTGCCCTCCTGTTTCTCTCCCAGTTTATCCTACCCTTCTCTCCCCAGCCCTATCTTGCCAGTTTTTCAGGTCCAGTAGATTTGGCATCTCCTCTTTATTCCCTTTCTTCCCTAGCTGCCAAGGACCACTCTGTCTTTGAATGGAGAAAACCATACTCTCCTCTGTTTGGTTAGGGCTTAACTGTTGAGTGACTTCTCTCATAGTATTATTTAAGTGTTAGTGACTAAGTTAGCAGAGGACTAACTTTCTAGGAAGAGTGTGTTTAGTTTTCCACTGTGTTTCCAGTGCCTAGAACAGTGCTGAGTACCAGGGAGACTCTTAAGCATTGGGTGCATAATTAAATCAGGAGAGAAGTATGTCTTCTAATTTCCATTCCTTTCTCTTGAGCTAGATGTGGGTGGTAGCACGTTGGTGATAATTCTCATTCCCCATCACTCTGGGAAAACTCCTAAATAAACAAGGCAGGCTTTACCAAAACACTTTCACAAATCAACCCTGGAGACTGTATATAAATCCTATCTAAAATTAGTGCTTTTATACCTGAGTCCTATGGGCAAGTATTTATGCCTCATTATTGAGAGTTTGGTTTCTGTTTAGTAATGAACAGAACTGTAGCTTCCAGAATAAGAAATAGCTAAAGCAAATTTTATTTCTGTTGGATTGTTCAGCTCCCTCAGACGCTGACAAAGTCAGTTTCAACATTGTATTCTTTTATAAGACATTTACTCCAAGGCTTTGAGAGTAAGTGTGAATACATGCATTATCCAGTACCATTGTATGTCATTCTTAAAATCGTTCCCCTTTAAAAATTCTGAAACTTATGACTCATTGAGTTAAAGGCAGTTGTTCAGAGTCAAACAGAGCTAGTGCTCTAGCTCCTGACTTCTTTCTCCTGGCATGAGAGTAAATCTATTTCATAAATATCTGTACACAGGAGCAAATACCATTACCGACAAAGCACTTGAGTGCCTTAAAATAAATTGAGTGTTGGGGCGCCTGGGTGGTTCAGTGGTTAAAGCCTCTGCCTTCGGCTCAGGTCATGATCCCAGGGTCCTGGGATCGAGCCTCGCATCGGGCTCTCTGCTCGGCGGGGAGCCTACCTCCTCCTCCTCTCTCTCTCTGCCTGCCTCTCCGCCTACTTGTGATCTGTCTGTCAAATAAATAAAAATCTTTAATAAAAAAAAAAAATAAATTGAGTGTTAACAAGGTGTGAAAGATTTAACTTACAGGGTTTCCCCCCTAAATTAGTTGAACATTATAGTAAATGTACTTTTCTTAAAACATGTACTTATTAAAAAAATAACAAAAACATGTACTTACAATATATCAGTTTGAATTATACTTTGTGCAAATAATTAATGGCTAGAGATATTCAAAGTACCTACCTGAGTTATGCTTCCCGTAATACTTTGGTTTACACATACACACAGATGAGAATAAGTTTCAAGTGATTGGCTTATTAGAGTCATCTCTTAATATTACCTAAAACATAAAAATTTTGTAGAAACAAAAACTAATGTGTCCTTTATCTACTATCACTGGCTCTTTACTCCTGTATGTTGCAGCATCAAGGAACACTTTATGCATCAGGCGTCCTTGGGAAATAGTTTGATAGATGGCTGGCCCTTTAAATCTACTGAAAATCTCAGTGCATGTGTTAGAATTCATGTCAAAGAGATGAGAGCTAAGTTGGGCAATTTCTGATTTCTAAATTATAATGTATGGCCATTACAACATAAAAATGGTCCTTATGATCAGGAGGTTTATTAACAGGACATCTATATAAAAGGTATGTAGATACAAGAGAAAATATGAAATACCGCTACATAATGTGAAAAGGGCAGAAAAAGAAGGAATCTCTTTCCTGGTATCACTCCACTCATTTCTTCGTTAATTTATTCAACATTTAGTTTGTCCCTGTTCACCAAACATTCCATTTGCATTTTATTGGGAATATACAATGATAAATAAGTATTTCTTCATCCCAAGAAACAAAAATAAGTACTTACGAAATAATATAACTACAGAACTTATAAACTCTTATAAACGCAGTGGTCAAACTGTATGCAGGGTATAATGCAAACCTAGGATTTGCATAGTCCCAAATTCACACTGACGACCATGATATTAGAGAAGGTTTTCAGGAGGGACTGTGGGGGTGGGGTGGTGAGCGGATTCTTAAAGGATGAGTAATTGTGAAGGAGGCACTGAACCCACCAGGACAGAGTAACTCAAAACATAGACACTGTTGGTGGGAAGAAACGATCCTTTTAACCACATTAACACAAACAAGGGAGTCAGAAGTAAAAGCTTTTTTTTTTTTTTCCGGTGAAAATTGTATTGAGATATTAGAGCAATATCCGATTAGAAAAGTCTAGCAAGTAGTTTGAAATGAGAAGGAAAATGCAATTGCAGGTAGATTTAGGAGGCAGAAACAGTCACCTAATTTTCTTTCTTTCTCCATCCTTTTCTTATTGTCTGTCCCCCTGTTAAATGCTATGGCTTTTGAATTCTTTCCTTTCCTTCTTACTTGGTACTGAGATGATTCTATGGGCACTCTCTTTGGGCAAGCTTTCACTCCTGAGCTTCTAACATGGGAATATTACCATTTGGATATTTCATGGGGACCTCAAAATACCATAATAATTTTGTAGGGATGTCAAACTAACATACTGACCAAAAGATTTTGGCAATCCCTGTACACCCCTCCAGTTCAAGCCTACGACTTCCATAGATGCCTCTCACATGCTTTGTCAGCTTGGCCACCCAAGCCAAGAACACGAGAGTCATTCCCAATTCAACTGTTTCCATACTCTCCATCTGCAGTTAGTTATCTTTCCCTTCATTTTCTGGGCTGCTGTTTGAAATGATTCATACAACCTTTGTAGCAGCGATCACATTGTGGCTCCTGGTGATTTCACCCGTGTCTGTTATTCCACCCGTTTCTCTTCCTCTCAAGACTGTTAGTACTTAGAAAGCAGAGGCCATATCTTATTCATAGTGGACCCAACCCCTCATATCCAGCAAATATTTAGTGATCAATAAAGATTTGTTTAACTAAGCCCACGTAGTAGAACTGATTATAAGTAAAAAGCAGGATTATAAGGGAAGGTGTTTGAAAAATGCACTGTGAACGAATTAATGGTGGATCTGGTCAGAAAACGTTGGTCTGGGATTTTGTGTGTGTGTGTGTGTGTGTGTGTGTGATGTGCACAGGCATATATGCATGCACACATATACACACATGTGTGTTGGTCTATGTATGTGTGTTTTCCCCAACCACACTGCAGCTCAAGAACAGGAGAAGGATGGCAGGTGGTGATGTGAGTTAGGGCTACAGAGTGGCCTGGCTGATAGTGAAGACGTGTGTCAGTATACACATGGAACTGAGTGTAGCACAAGGGGATAGACAGGATGAAGCTGGAGGAGTTTAGGGGACAGTTGAGAAGACAGTGTGTTACATTGGATATGGAGACATGGGAGAGGATCCTACTGCCCCTTAATCCTGGGGAAGGAGGCCTGGTCCTTTTTCACAGAAGACAAGGCAGGAGTGACATCACAGACACTAGAGTCAGGATGTTGAGATTCTCATGGACTTCCCAGTTAGATGGATCAAGAGCCACCTCCACCTTGGGCAGTGAGAGACGGGAACTGGCCAACTTGGAGTGGAGGATGG